CAATTGGGTGAAGATATTTTGTGCCGTGACTTCACCAAAAAAGGAATAACAATAGGGTAAAATCTATATTATGATAATGTATAATATATTAATTATTATTAAAATATATTACTAAGATGAAAATTCACTCGAGAACAATGGAAAAATATTCGCATCAATCTCATTTTATGAAATTACAAAGATCCAGAACTCATAAATATATGATGGAATCTTAGAAATTTTTTAAATAATAATTCTAATAACATTAGTTGGTCTGATAAACTACGTCATTTAGAAGATTTATAATTAAATTTTAGAGAACTTCATAAATATTAACCATCAAGATTTTCATCCTGAAAATATTTTATCAGGTAAAAGTTGCATATTTCAGATTTTGGAAAAGAAATTTAATTGAGAAAAATATATTAATTTTTCAAAAGAGAGAAACGTTTTTGGAGTATTAAGTGGAGTGGGTAAGAATATACAAAGGCTGAATTTCTATGCAATTATTGTTATCTTCCATATCCTGATGTGAAAATATGAACTGAAAAATTCCACCTAAATTGATTTACACCAATATGTCGCTCATTATATTGAGTGCTTTATTTTTTATTTTTTTTTTTTTAAAAAAAAAATATGAAATGGATTGTAGAATAATTAAAATGTTACAAAATAAAAATTGTGGGGTAGTTTAAAAAAGGAAACAAATTAAATCATTATTTAAAATCTCAGTTTAGGATGTTTATATACACTAAATATATTTCAAAGAAATGAAATATATTTTTAGCCGCATATTTAATACCCCTGCATAGTCTACTTTATTCAGAAATTTATCATATGACTAAATGCAAGGGTTTTGGTTAGTTCAGGGGTAAATTTGGCATCCTGTGTCACGCCTGTTGAATATCAATTTTTATTATAAATCCTATGTGAAATCATATTTGTCATCCTTATCTGTCACCACCAAACCCCATGCAGGTGCGTTAAAAAACAAATTTATCAAATGATTCCATCATTCCTCTTCGAATCGAGACAACCTACAAGCTCATATAAAATACTATTCATTTTTTAATTGTTGTTTTATAATAATTATAACCTTTGACCCTTGAAGTATTTTCGATACCAGCTTTTGCCATCGGAAAATTGTTAAGTAATTATTTCATCTTTGTTCAAATAGTTGCTCACATAAACTGTTTTGACAGTGATAAGACTGTTTAATAAAATTGTTTCATCTTTTACCCAATTTTGCTTTCAAGTTTTTAGATAAATTTTCCGAAAAAATGATTGGAATTGCTGCATCAAGTGCAGGATCTGCATCAGTAAACATAACAATCAGTTGCTTTTCGAGTATCCAAATATATATATCAAGGAATTCATCACTTATTAATGCCTAACAGATTATCAACTATTATGAAAATGCCCAATAGCATATGATGCTGATAGGTTTTGGCTGTGTTATCATTTATTACATTATCATAATATTTAAGCCACAAGTCAAACTGGTCAGGAGACAACCAGAGAAGGCTAGTCAAATGATTTTCTTTATCTAATTCGAAAAATCAACAACCCAACATAAAACACTGATACTTTGCGCTTTGATACTTTGGGATTATTAAATATTTATTCAGGGAATATTTATAATATTAATTGAATATTAGAAAAATCAGAAAGTATTAATTATAAAGGTTGTTCGAGTTGAAAGTCACGATCAGTATTTGAAATTCGATGTGTGGGATGTGCGTTAACACAAAATTTAAAAAATCCGCATATAAAAAAAAAAGGATTTAAAATTTCAAACATTACATTGTGGATGATCGCAAATAGTATTATTAATTGTTATATTTTTTTCATCACACGAAAAATAATTTTAAAAACAATGAAAGAATATAATTATTTTATTTTTATTTTATTTTTTCATTTTTCATTTTTTATATTTTATTTATTTTTATTTTTATTTTTTTTTTTAAAACAAATGGAGCCTCGTTCGAAGAAATGTTATCTTTATTCAATTCGTAACAGAATCATCTAAAAATTATAATTTCGTGAATTTAAATAATTTTTGTATAAAAAAAGCAAAATAATCTTTGTTATACTTTATGATAATAAAAATATTTATCCCAGGATACATATTTAAATTAATTAATTAGAAAAGAGTATTCTTAATTAAAAAGTATCTCTATATGGGTTAAAGTTTCCTTTTAATTCAAGTTCACTTTGAACAGGCACTTTAATTAGTAATTATTTATAAAAAAAAATTTCAGCATTTTTAACAGTCAAATATTGAAATCGAACTAATATTTCTTTCTTACGTTTAACAATAATTCTATTTTTTTTTATCTTGCCAATAATTTTGATTTCTAGGTACAACAGATACACATTTAAAATTTCGATGATACATTGGATATGTCAATAAGTCAAAAATTGATCTTATAGGTCTTTCAAAATTTTATCAATCGCATCTTTATAATAAGGATCTGAACATTGTTCTTCTAATAATTTATGAATTGGACGTATTACTTTTATTCTGTGATCAGGTGTAGATGAAGGCAAATATTCAATAGCTATTGAACATCGACTAACTGATTTTCCTAATAATAATAACATTAATTCCAATAGTCCCATCTGGCGAGCATGTGCATGTTTTTAAATGCATCTAGTTCATTTAATTCAAATAATTCAGTAGGTTCTGGTTTTGTTGCATATTTGCTCATATATTCTGCAAAAAATCTATCAGTTACAAATTGAATATTACAGTGACCTTTCCATAAATATAATATTGGTGCATGATATGGCACTATCCATTGATCATCAGGCTTTAAACTACGATATGTAAATCGTGAAATTGTTGGATTATGATATGTTGAATTGAAAAAAAAAGTTGAGGAAAACCTTTCTTGCAACGAGAACCAGAAGGTGGTGAACCACCACAATGAGCAGGAACACAATGATGCCAATGATGTTTTTTACCAAATCATATAATTCTTTTTCAGTATTTTCATCAGGAAGGTCAGCTCGAATAACATTATCAGCAATTAATTCAGTAAGTCCATGAGTATGTATTGCACCTCTATTTTGAAATTCATCTCTTTCAAAATGATGTAACCATTTACCCCATTTTGTTAAATTTGAATTTTTCCAAAGGTGCTGATAAATTGATTTCAATCGATGTTGATAATGATGATAAGTATGAAATAGACGATTTGATGGAAGTCTATTTTTGTTATCAGTATTAGATAAAATTTTATTTAGATGTGACCAATGTTCTTCAGCCATTATCATGGTATAAAAAATTTGAGGTAATCCAAAATTTTCAACCATTGTAATTAGGTTAGCTCTTTTTGACACCAATAAGTATCTCCTGTTCAAATAAATGATGGAATAGTTGTAGTTTTAGTTTCATCAATAATATAATTATCTGAATAAACACTTTTTGTTATTAAATGTACTAAAGTAGGACAGTTTTCATTGTTGGTTTTAGATTGTCTCAAAAGTCTTATTCGATTTTGATGATTACGATATTTTTCTTAATTGAGATATGAATAATGTGGTCAATACCAATGTAATCATAAACGGAATCTGGAAATTGTAAATTTAATTTTATATAACTTCCCATTGTATCAATATTAGGTCTATAATTTTGTGACCTTTTAATATCAGTATAATGACCTTTTCCTAAAGGAAAAAGACCAGGAAATAATAAAGCTTCAATACTAGAATCAGAAAATAAAATCGGCAATTCTTTTTCATTATTATCAATTAAAAATCCTGCCATTAGATTTTTATATATGTAATCTTTGTTATGAATTTCTGGATCAAAATTTGAATTTTGTATTACTAAATCTATTGGTTGTAATATATTAATTAAAGAATTATTTTCAGAAGCTGAAAGTAATCTCGCTGTTGATAATATTATTGGAGGACCTTCAATATTTCCACGATTATAAAAATGATTATAAGATTTAAATAAATCGTTATTTTGACGTAACCAATTTGCAGCTGTAATTAATGTAGGATGATACCAAGATTGAGTACTACTTCTATTTAAAAGAGCACCTATAGTGCCTGTATATAATGCAAAAGTATGAAGATTTTTAGAAAATCCAAAAGATCCTTTTAAATGACGATAATGTGTATATGGATTTGATCCTGGTGTTCGGCCTAATGAACAACTTAGATGTATTGGTGAAGGATAAATACGATTGCACTAAGGAATGGCTTCAATTTCAAGTGGGACTTGATCTAATTGAGGAGGATTTTGGCGAGTGTTTTGCTTTATACATGATAAGCAAGTTGATGAATTTGGATGAAAATGTAACAGTATATTGGGAAATGCTTGTGTTAATAGATATATTACTGTATTGTCATATTCAATCCATTTGGCCTCAGTGGGATACATGAGTTTAGAACAATAACAACACAGAACACATGGAAATTGATTTAGAATTGTATTATCAAACCGATTATAAAGTTTTTTTTTAGTTTTTGTGAAGGTTGCCAAGGAGAAAATTCTAATTATGTTGAGGATGCTATTATATTTGTTGAAATATTTATTTGAACCGGAGCTCTTGAATGGTTTGAATTTGCATCTGTTCTGGCTGCACTATCTGATAGAAATGTCAAGTCTAAAGATTCAAATTCATCAAGCTCATTTCCCGAAGGATCAATTTTTATTATTTGAAAATTATGTGCCATGGTTGTTTAAATCAATAAAGTTATTTTAAATTGAGTTGTTATATTATTCTAAAAATATCATTCTAAAATAATATATTTAAAAAATAAAAATTAATATTTTGAAAGATGTTAACAAATTTTGATACTTAAAAGATAACAGTTATTTTATTTTTCAGAATATATGAATGAAAATTTTGCAATTATGCCTGTTATTCTAATTAATCAAGAAATCATTTGCATTGCAAAATAATTTTTGATATTTATAAACAATGATGAATTCTTTTATTCTTTTAATTACTAAAAACACTTGTTAAAAATCATTATTGTTCTCTTTGTTATAAATCATTTTTGTTGTCTTTCTTGAAAATTATTCTTCTACATGAAATAATTTTGCATTTATTTTCTTTGTTAGTGATTACACAAGAATTTTTACTATATGTTTATCTTCATTGTTAAATTAATAATCTGTATACAAGAATTTTGTAACATAATGTAATCTTATAAATATGCCAATCTTTTAATGACAAAGCTCTGGAGAAATAAGTGAAATTAACAAAGGCATAATGTTTTAGATATTTCAAACAATGTAATGACAAGGATTTCAAAGAAATATGTGAAACAAACAAAGGAAATAGACTGTAACATAACTAGACAATAGGTTTTTAGATATAAAAATAATTTTCTTTATGTATAATAATAATTTGTATACTGTACATCAGTAAATTTTAATAGGTGAAGGCCTCTGAGGATTTTTTTATGTTATTTGAATTCGCTCGTGATTAAAAAAGTGTAGAACGATTTGTGCTAAATTATTTCTAAGATAGAAAGAAAGGACTTGTTCTTATCTACCAAATGATGTGTATTTCATGCTGGTAGCATCGATATTCGCGGAGTTATTCTAGTTTAAAGAAATGCGTCTGTGAAAAAATCGTGCAAAAATTCTAGTAAATTTCTTGAGATTTTTTGACTATTTTTTTTACAGACGTTTTCTTTGAACTCCGCAAATATCGAGGTAATATACTTACCAGATTGCGCAATCGTACCGTACTAATTTGCTACGTATAGACGATCAGTAGTACGATAATTTGTAAAAATATAAAAATATCGTACATACTATTTTAATTTGATTTTGTGAATTTGATATAAAAAAAAACTCTTTCCGACGATCATTTTGCCAGAATTTTCAAGGAAGAGAAAATATAAAAAACACTACAAACAAATAATATAA